TTGAAAAAATTTATCAAATTTAAAATTGAATAATTATTTTGTAGTTAAAAATTTATAAAATGTTCAACTTTTATATATCTAAGGATTGAAAATTTAAAACAAGATTCCACGTAAGTAGCTAATTCTGTTACCAAAAAGTCTAAAAAATACAGAAGCACAGTTTATTTTTATATTCATTTTAAGTTCAAATTAACCTAACCATAAAAAACCTAGAATAACTATTTTAGTTATTTTGTTGTGATTGATGAAATAATAACAATTAGAGCTGTTAAGGGATATACTTATAACCAGGGCTAGGATTTGTATGCAATAAAAAATGATAAAATATGCATTTAAATTTTAGATTCTCAGTGGAATGATGAATGTACCTACTGATTTTACAATGATGAGTAGGTTATGTGGCCTATGTTTTTTTTAATTTTTTAATTTTTTTGTGTCTGTGTACACGATAAGTAGTCGAAATAATGCTTTGATTTTCAACTTCAGTATCTTGTTCGATGGAAAAGTGAATATCGTTGGTGCATTGGGGAGGTCAAAATTTAAATTTCCCAGTAGTTTTCAAAAGCGCCGGGAAAAACAAAATAAAAATTAAGGAAAAACGGGAATTTTTACACAAAATCGGTTTTCCAAAAAATCGATTTTGGTTTTTGGTGTAACTTTAAAACAAATAACCGTAGATACATGAAATTTTCAGTGCAGGTTGTTTATATTTTAATTTTCTATACACGATAACATTTTCAAAATATTTTGATTTATTTTGAACTGTTTAGGGGCATTTTCAGTTTCCAATTTTATTAGTTTTTTTTTTTATGAATATCAATAAAAATGTATTTGTTGAGTAAAAATACTTGAACATTTAATACAACATCGAATTTTACAAAATTTATCAAAATCTCGAAAATTATCAATCATTGTAATTAATAAATTATAAAATGTTCAGTTTTTATAGCTAAAGATTGCAAATTTAAAACAAAGGTTCTCATAAATAGGTAGTTCATACTGTAACCAAAAAATCTAAAAAATATATGAACACAGTTATTTTTTACCGGCATTTTAAATTCAAAGTTGACGAAATTACATATTAAAATCAATATTAACGATCTTTGTTTTTGTTGTAATTTAAAAATATTATTCTGTGATATATGAAACTGAAAAATCAAAATATTATGGCCTATCCATACAATCAACCATAGTACCTATAAGGCAGGGATTCTCAAACTTTTATAAACACTGTACCTACCCCTTTTTATCAATACATTTTTTTGGGTACCTACCCATTCTTAGTTACTAAACTAAAATATATATAAAAAAATTTAAAGACGTACATACATTATTATTTCATTAAGAACGACGCAAGATTTTATATCCGAGCGTAGACGCGCCACGCGCATGACACCTAGCTTAACGTCGCGTTTTTATAATTATATAGGTATTCTACTGTCTCTTACTCTACTTGGTATAACGATAGCCACGCTTACTCAATCAATGACGAATGAAACAGTTAGATACGCCATTTTAATTTAAAATTCACAAATGTTACCTTGGATTTTAGAATTTTTTTCTCTATTTTAATTTAAAAGTTTGTTGGCCAGACTTGTAGGTACCCCTTAAAAAATTTTGAGTACCCCCAAGGGGTACGCTTACCACAGTTTGAGAATCCCTGGTATAAGGAATAAGAATTATGCTCATGATAAGACTGTGCATATTTTAAGAAATGTATTCATAAATTCCATATAATTTAATACCATAGATATATTTATATACATATATAATATTATGTCTTAAACCTAGACTGACATACCGTCTTTGCTCAGAATCGTTTTTCTTATACAATGATATTGTATCATTGAATTCAAATTTAATAGCATCCATTATACAGTGACCCACTTGTAACCTACTGTACAGCAGAGCGAAATCCACTTACCCACCTTTTTTTTTTTGTTTTTCACTGCGCGTTTGAAAACTATTGGGAATTTTAAAATTTGACCTCCCCAATGCACCAACTAGATTCACTTTTCCATCGAACAAGATACTGAAGTTGAAAATCAAAGCATTATTTCGACTACTTATCGTGTACACACACAAAAAAAAAATTAAAAAATTAAAAAAAACATAGGCCACATAACCTACTCATCATTGTAAAATCAGTAGGTACATTCATCTTTCCACTGAGAATCTAAAATTTAAATGCATATTTTACCATTTTTTATTGCATACAAATCCTAGCCCTGGTTATAAGTATATCCCTTAACAGCTCTAATTGTTATTATTTCATGTTAATGCATATTAACAATATTGTAGATATAATATACATCAGTATTATTGTAAACCCTAAATAAACCGCCTTCTGAGATAATTTTTTTACTAAAAAACCAAAAAAATGGTCCAAGGTAAAACGCAGTGGCGGATCTATGGGGGGGGGGCGACGTGGCGATCACCCCCCCCCCCCCCCCCCCTTGGGCTTTTTTTTTTATTACAGATTTATTTAATATTTTCGATTTATAGATTTACACATTACACAATACATTATATTGTTATAGCTATTTAAAACAAATAAAGGTACCTACAATTAATTTTAAGTGTTGTACTTCTTTTTCCATAAATTACTTGAACTACGGTCAAGTCTTCATTGCCGGGGCAACAGCAGGAAATGCTTTTTCTTGGTGGGGGGAGGGGTTGAAAAAATGTATACTGATAATTTTATAGTATACGGATTATACAATTTGATCCGGATTGATATACGGATTTCTGGGGGTGGTGACCCCCTCCACCCACCAGGTTTGACCATACTCATCGTACTTGTATATTACTCATGGATATTCCTATTCGAAATTCGCCCCCCCTTTAACCAAGCTTCAGATCCGCCCCTGGTACAACGTATGTCGTATACTGTAGGTACCTACTACCTACCTTGTGATTTACATTGAAATTTGAAATACCTAGGTATACATAGAAATAAAAGAAAAAGAATTTCAAATATATTCCTTAAAAAATAAGAAATTAGGTCCCTCTTAAGAAATTCACTATAGATTCACTAAATTCACTGTATAGATAATATATAACCACTTATTCTTAAGTACCTAGATGATAAACAATATAGTTCAATCCTTTAAAACTTAAAAATTAATGATTTGGTTAGTACTCGTACATGCATACCTACCAAAGAATGTACCTTTTTAGACCTACTAATTTTTTGTAAGAATGGACCACAAAATTGAATTGTATACATTATTAATTGATGTAAAATGGCACTAACCTTAAGAACTTCTATGATAAATTAAATTGTTCAAAATAAAATATAAAAAACCAAAAATCTTAATCTTGAGATAGGCAAAATTAAACTTTTTTATTATATAGGTATTCATGAGTGATTCTATTGTTTTAACTCCTAACTGTGAATATTATATTTAATATTTTCAAGAGGTACAACTAGTGAGTATATAATTTCTTCCATGATTTAATTCTTTACCAATTATTAAGGAAGAAATAAACATTAGATCAAGGTACAAGAGACCCAAGGTACAACACTATCCCCTACCATTAACTTTCAAATTTTTAAAGTTTTATAAAATAGTATTCTTAGGGCCAATTGTACCATCTCTGATTAAAGTTGACCAGAGTTTAATCTGCCGAATTCGCCCAGTTAAATATCTGTTATCAGCTATTTAACCGGCCAAATTTGGCCGATTAAACTGTGATTAACTTTAATCAGAAACTGGCCTTGGTGCGTTACAAGGAAACAAAAGAAAATTAAATTGATTGTATACTATACTAATTCAGGGGCGTCATTTGAATCACATAAAATTCAGTTAAGTTTAAAATTAAATGAACAATATTATTATGTTAAAAAATATACAAAAGCACAATATTCAAATGACACTTACATATTTTGAGTAATAATATAATAATCATAATAATTACCACAACATGGTCAATACTAATATAACCTAAATAAAAAGGTGGTAATTGTCAAGACAATTTTTTCAAGTAAATAAAGTAAAATAAAATTTGTATTCCTATTAAATATAAGCTCTTTTTAAACTTTACAATTTATCATAGAACCAACATTTAAATATTGTAATATATTTTGCAGTGACTTTAATTGTATTTTACCAACTACCTTTAATTTAAACATTTTCATTACAGATTTTTTTCAATAACATTTACAGACTTATAAATACAGCAGGACACTATAATATCAGAATAAAATAGATAATAGGTAAGTAATTTAAAGATAACTTTATTGAATATCAAATTAAAGTCTTAATGCATAGCTATTTTCCTAAAAAGTAGGTAGTTAATATTCTTTAAGTCATTACTGTATTTTTATAGCTAATTCTATATTGGACATATTTTAATTTATATAACATACGTTATTGCATCCAACCCATTTACAATTAAAATATTTCTTTACAACTAGATGAAAAAATAAATAAACATTTCATGATAGTCATTATTTTAATATTTTAACATAATATTAAAACTAATTTAAAAATAATGGAAGTCTAAATAAAACACAACAAACACAATATTTTAAGAAAAAACACATTAATATTAATTTAATATTGAGTAAATAATTAAATAAATGATAATACTAATTATGACTAGTTTGAGAATAAAAAAATAAATACTATTTAGGTACTTAGACTATGTAACGATTATCGCAGTTTTGAAAATGAAATATAATATGATTATCTCATAAATGACATATTATATTGCACAGCCAATAAGAACAAAATATGTTTATATTTTTATAAAAAAAAAAAACACAAAAATCATTAAAAAAAAATTAGGTAAAATAAGAAACAATGAATTATATATATATATATAAAAAAAACAATCAAGAATAATCAACATTTAAGTAGTGTAAATATACTTTTAAGCCATACCACAGTGAATGGAAATGTGTCTTGTTAAATTAAATAATTAATATAACTTGTCATTTTGCTAATTAAAAATTGTGCATGGAAGAGTATTATTAATAGTATTAACTCTAAGGCCTAAAAAGGTGGTGTCTGATAGTCGCCCAGTTGAGTTATTTTGCTTATACTGTCATATTCTGCACGTATTTTGGAATTTACTTCATCACTGAAGTTAGGTATATCATTTGAGAATAAACCATCAGTTTCTATTATTGGCATCACAGATATTATTACACGACCTAAACAAATTAAAGATCACAATGACATAGACATTGTATATTGGAATAAACTAATAACACTAAACGACATAAACACCTGGCTCAAACATATGTTTTTCTTTGTTTATGAAATAGTTGTTGGAAAATACAATAGGCTGCACTGGCAATTTTCTTTTTAAAGCCATTTTAATAGTTTCTTCATTTGTCATTAAAGTTGATGCCAATAAAATTGTAGGCTATAAACAGAGTATCAATATATAAACTAGAACATTATATTTTTTAATACAATTTAACATTATTTTAGAATATTTACCCCTGAATCAATTACCGCTGTAGAAAAATTCAACAACCTCAAATTTGTATAAAAAAATTGAATGGGGCACAGGGCCAATGAGATTAGCCATGGAAAAAATGAAAATGGCCATAAGGTGATGAAATTTGTCTCTGAAATTATATTCAGTTCCATCTTTTGACAATACACCAAATGTAAGAGTCCTGTAAAAATATATTAATATATAATTAATAATTATACTTAAAATTGTATTTATTTATTTTGCTTAAGCAACAACAAAAATGTTTGCCATTGTTTGACAAGTGTGTATCTTTTATTCTAATTAGTATAGTCTTCAGTATTCAGTAATGTCAACAATTTTAAATAATAATAATAACCTAATGTATCAATGTCAGTTTGATAATTTATAATAGCCACTCTTGGACGTGTTGATGATAGATTTTGTTTACCGTGTAAGCACCATTCAATAGACAATAAATCTGAGATTTGTTGCCCAAAATATGCAATCAACCTGCAAAAATAAGTTAAAACAATTAGTTGAAATGAATAGAACATTTTATATTTTATGTGTAAAAATAATTTATAAAAATTTATGACAATAGAATTGGGATGGATTTTATATGCTAGAAAGGTATTCAAGACCCCTGCACATTAGCATTCAAACAGATGATACCGAGGATGATACATTATATCAGCAGATTTTATCATTTTCTATAATTATTGGCCAACCGCATACAAGTACAAATCTAAACATTTACTTATATCAATCACTACCATATTTATAAAATGTCCAATCATCTAAGGAGGTACTAAATCTATAACTATATTTAGGTCGATATAGGTGCTACAACTAACTTATGAAGTAGGTATATTCCGTGGCGTAGCCAGGATTATGAAATGGGGGGTTTTGAAGTATAGATTAAATTAAGTTTTTACACTTTATAAATAATATTCGGGACTTGACTTGTTGCACTAAAAATTATCGAAATATGCAGTCAACACTTTCAAAATATACCTACTTAAATATATGCAGCTACATTTTTATATTATTTTTGAAAAATTCATAAACCATATTACAATTTTGGTACTAGGTTATTAAATAAGTAATAACCAATACTGTGATCACCGTAACACGTATCTACTGGTTTTAATTTTTTCGTACAATCTAGAATCTAGATGTCATTATAGTTTTAAGTTTTAACACAGCCTTGTCACAAAGAGAATTATATTATATAGACTTATCCAGTGACGGCTATCACGTATCTGAAAAGTGCTTAAGCACCCCTTTCATAATTGGGATGGGTGGGTTGTAACTATTGGGTCTTTAAAATAAACTTTAAATGTTAGTAGGTTAAAAAGTTTTTTGTGAAATGAGTAATTTTTTAGGTTACTGGAAATACTGGTAGGGGGTAGGTACTATTTCATTTTAAGTGAGCACCTATTATATTTGTCGACATAGCCGCCACTGAACTTATCTTACGTACCTTATGTGAAAATGGGGCCAACCGTAGCCAAGGTCCACCAACAACTCTAACAGCCCTCCAGTATATTTACTACATTTTTTTAAGCTTATTCAATTTTATAATAGTATGGTATTAGGCTTCGGCCTCCCCAAATCTTAAAATTAGAGCCTATTGTACCTAACCAAACATAATATTTTTAAAGATATTTTTCATTGTTATCCAAATATGATTTTTCCCGACAATTGTATGTACATATAAGTTAAAACAATGGAAAATATGCACAAATATGAAAAAAACCGCTCAAATGTACACTTTTCCTAAAATATACAAAAATATGCAAATGCAAACTTTGTTTGATAAGACATATAAAAAAATTTCATAAGACAAATTTATAACTTATCTAAAATAATCTATGACCACTACAATAAAACGTTATTAAACAATATAAACAATATATTTATTAGCGGGGAAAATATCAATGGATGGTGTTTAAACACCCAAAACCCCCCCTGGCTACGCCACTGGGTATATTAATTCAGTTGTACAAAATGTATATACCATATTTCTTCTAATTATAATATTAATATAATATGTAACAAATTGCAAACATTTAAAATGACAAAAAAAAAATTTATATACTAAAAAAAATCATGTATGAGCTACCCTTTACCTATCACAGCCTATATGAGTTGAAAAGCAAGCTGTATGCACCTCCAATTTTCAAGTAATAATCTATTGAAATAACTTTTATTGAAAATGGTCCAGTCATTTTTTGAGACTATTAACTTCGAATAAACCAACATCCAATTTTAGTTGTACCTATAACACGATTCCGCCCGCCAAAAAATTAAAAAAAAAAAATTTTGATAAGTGTATCTTGGGTTTAGTGTACCTATACCTATATACCTCAGTTCACAGATAAATTTGGGTAGCTTTGCAAACTAAATCGACCAAGATAAACAATTTATTTGTAGTGGATTGGGTATGACACTTGGTATGAACGTGGTTCAAACTACTCTTTAAACATTCCTGTTATCTCTAAGAAATTTTCACAAAATCGATCAAGTAATTTTTGAGAACCTATATAATAGCTACAAATATACATTTAACCCTATCATATTTGTTTTAAGATATAATTTCTTTATTCGAAAGCATAAGCGTGCGGCGATTATATTTATAGATTATCTATTTAAATTGTACAATGTACATGATAGAATGTTAAAATATAGGTACCAATTAATAAAATATGCTTGAATCATAATAACTAGGATAAGATTTACTAAGCATCAGCATAATTTTAGACTTTTTGTATAGTTTTGGTCAGTAAGCCTTAAAAACTGAGCATACTCATTTATTTTATAATGTAGCTACATACTAATAAAATAATAATATATTATAAAATCAATACTATAAATTGACATACAAATATGATTTATTTTGTTGAGGAACATGGTTTTTGTTATCATTCAATAGGTTACATAGGTTCAGATCATCTATTTCCTTATTAGCCACACAGTTTTAACATTTTTTTTTATAGGTACATTAGATCAGTTTTTTTAAAAATTATTGAAGGCAGATGTATTGTTTTCAAAAATGATGATGATGAATATTATAGATTACCTAATAACCTATTTAAATATGTATCAATTATTTTCAAAAATAGTTAGGTAATAGATTTTTTATTTTAACGAAAAATAGGTAGGTAAATACGAAGCAACTGTCATATATTTTTTAAGCTTTTTAGTTGGTAAAAACTAATAAGATATAAACATATTATAATGTAGATAAAACATTTCAACTGAGTACAATTACCTTACTAAGGTAACCTACAATTACCTTACTAAGGTAATTGTGAAACTTAGGAGGTCTCTATCATTGTATAAATATAAAACTAATTTATGTAAATCTTACACTATAACTAAATAGGTACCTACAAATTGAAATATACAAATTTCAGTTTAATACTATGTTTGAAGAACAGTATAATAAATAATTATTTACACAAAACATACACCTAGGTACCTATGTAAAAAAAATATATTAGGCAAAACCTTAGGTACCTAATTCACTTTCATTTTATACAGTCAACATGTATACCACTGGTATTCAGTTTATTATTCTAAGTTCCTATAGTGTAACTTGATACACATATTCATAATTTTTATATTAGATAACTCAATATGTCACAAGCCACTAACCTTTAAAAGAGAGAAACTGCATTTCAGCAATAATAATTATAGCTTTGATTATGATAATGTATAACAATTGACTATTACATTAGGTATATATTTTAATAGTTAATGCAAACAATTAATAGCATAAAGTATAATAATATATTAATATATAAAAGTACTACCTAATAATAATGTATAACAGCAATCAGACCGAGGTAATGATTAAATTCTACAATCCTAATGAACCATGAGTAATGTGACTAATAAGATCAGTATTGTAAAAGTAGTCTGTGAAATATTTTATAAATTAAAATAGTATGATTAATGGAATACCTAATAATATTAATGAACACAACTAAAAAAAATTTCAATTTTCCAAGGTTTTTTGGATAAATTAGGATTTTCCAGTAAGGTTATTAAGTAATTAAATTAATTTTATACAATAATAAGCATACCTATTATTGTAAGAATCCAGACTTTTAACGATACATTTTTTTGAACAGAAGTTAGTGGCAATATCAACGGTAGGTATACCCAAATTCAATAACCAAAAGTTCTTTATAACAGCTTTAGGAAACTGAATCTCATAAGTCTGCCGATTCACGTAATGAAAATTGTTTCAAGGCCACATTTCAACGGAAGCCAATAACTAGGTTGTATCCAATACCGAACGACAGGAAAATAGGCAGGAAATACTCTGAAGAACTAATCTGTTTGAGCCGAGAATATGACCGTCGATTATAAATATTATGTACTATGGTATGACAAACAACAGCAATTTCTACTGCTGTATAATAACAATTACCTGGAACGGTGTTTGAACTGGAAGACGGCCAACAGGGACGTGAGGGAGGCCAGCACAGAGAAGATGGCCAGACGAAAGTGGTAGCGGAATGTTCGTAGCGTGTCGTAGAGGAACGGCAGCGATATGAAAAACGCCACGAACAGTACTTCCAGCCACACGGCCATTGTCGGTGACTCGGTCGAGGGGCTGACGGCTTCTCTTCGTTCTTCGTCGGCGGCAGGTCGATCCGGTCGCGGGCCCAACTACATTTCAAGATAGAAATGACCGTGGGAGACCGTGGTCCGGTCTCTGGTTTTACAACAACTTATTATTACAAAATACGTTACCTATCTACCTATAATTGGTCGTCACAATGACTTTGGTCACCGCACACGGCGTACAGTGCGGAACGACCGTGATAACAACAATACCAGTAATAATAATAATAATAATAATAAATATTATGATCAATTTTATTTATGTTTTATGCCGAACCACGGGCAGCTGCAGCCTCCTGTCGTATCAACCGGAATCGGAAAGGGTATTGATCGATTTTTAAGCCGCACCAGTAATTGACCAGTGGTCCACGGTCGGGATCAGGAACGCAAACAGTAACGACGTTGGTATTTATCTTAATATGAATAATAATAAAATAAGGCGTCAGACGTATTAATCGTATTATTGTTATTAATCATGTAGTTCGTGGTGCCTTATTATAGATTTTTATTTTTAAAAATGTTTGAGGAACAAATAGTCTGATAACGAATATGTGATAAGAATTACGAACAGTTCAAAAATCAAACAAACCGTTATCACCATGTTATCACGGTTCACTCCGTAATCCGTTTAAACTGGCAAGAAATAAAACATAAATAAATTGAACTAGATATTTGAGTTACCTATTGGTTATTGAGTATTGACGTTAGTACGTTACTACCAGACTTCCTACAGAGTAGTGAGTACAGAGTACAGACCTAAATAACAAATTGTTGTAACAGAACTTCAGCATTATTATTCATTTGTATTTTGTTCATTAACAACTCATATGTTATTACACTGACGAAGTAAATAGTCGACTTATTATTATAATATAAATATATAATACTTTACAAGTTACACATAATATACCTAAATTGTATATGGATTAATAAGATCATTATGCTTAAAATACTGTGTACTATTTTCCTTTTTTTTTTTATTGTGCTGTACCCATTTAACACTGATTCTATTTTTATGTTATTTGCAAGTTGTAACATCCTTCTCAATATCTATAATCAACAATTAATTTAACCGTTGCTGTAACATACATTTAACCAATTTTTAATGTGTTGCATACTTAAAAAACATAATTATGTCAATTATATTTACTTTTTTAGATTAGAGATGGTTCTTACCAGAGAAGAAAGAGAAAATACAACGCGGATAATAGGAGAATCAGTACAACAACTGAACAGAACTTATTAATGTTTTTGAGAAGGACCGGTCACCGAAATGATGGCTGTGTTCAAGAATAAATTGGACCTTATCCCTATAGGTGTGCGCAGACTTTTGGTTCCGGGGGTGCACACTATAAATTAGGGCCCACAATATTTTGAAAACAATTATAGATAGATACAGACAAATGTTTTAAAGATATCAAATGCACTAAAAATATTTATTTTATTTTATTATTCATTCTAATAAATATTACATAACAATATAATATGGATATACAATCTTTAATGATAATCGACGTTTAAAAGGAACCACATTTTTGAATTTGTCAATAATTTCATTAATTTAATTTACATTTATTTAAAACAAATTTTCTCATGCTTATCCCTGAGTATGTTGTAACTTGTAAATACTAAATACTGTATATACTGGGTGATTCTTTTATCAAACAACACTCATTATTTCAAAAAGTGTAAATTTTTTTGAAAATATTTTTTTACATAGTTTCAAGTAGCTCATAAAACAACGTTTTTATTAAAAAAATATTTTTTAAATTATTTTTTATCCTTATAATTTTTTAAGTTTTTTACTTTTTTGAATGACAACATAGGGTTTTAATTTTATATTCTAAAGTAGAATATTTTTCTTAGTATTTTGATACATGAAAATTGAATTTGGGGCGAGTATTTTATGAGTTATAAGTAATTAAAGTTTAGACGAGCGGTGAAGTGGACAAACATTTCGCGGGGTAACCCCGAACCACTCCACTCCGCTCGTCTAAACTTTAAATACTTATAACTCATAAACTACTCAACCCAAATTCGATTTTCATGTATCAAAATACTAAGAAAAATATTCTGCTTTGGAATATAAAATTAAAACCCTATGTTGTTATTCAAAAAAGTAAAAAACTTAAAAAATTATAAGGATAAAAAATATTTAAAAATATAATTTTTTAATAAAAACGTTGTTTTATGAGCTACTTGAAACTATGTAAAAAAATATTTTCAAAAAAATTTACACTTTTTGAAATAATGAGTGTTGTTTGATAAAAGAATCACGCTGTATATTTTTAATTAGTTTAAATTACATTTTCTGGTTGTCCAGTTATAAAAATATTGTACATATCATTGTTGGGAGTCTGTTATTGTTCAATGTTTTATTATTAAATAATGTAGTTTATTAAGTTTATTGTTATTGAATTATTTTATTTATAAATGTATTATTATTCAACTATGTTATTTAATAAGTTTGTTATTATTAGTTAATTTTTATTATTAAAAAATCATATTTCACATCTTTGTTCAAAAGTATAAGGTTAATTATTATGAAAAAAATTGTAAAATTAATAAACTAGCGTACACTACATATTACATTGTTTTTATACTACTATGATTTAAAAATTAAAAAGTTATGTTATTTGTATTAAAATTAAACTCTAGAAGTCTAGATATTGGCAAATTTAATTTAAAGCATACCATTAAAAAAAATGTAAATTGAATGTTTTCTACATTTTTTATTTGAATTTTGAGTGGTATAACATAGTGACCACACCACTAACCCAAACTCAACGTTAGATCTAACCAACGAAAAGTATAATATTTTTAAAGATATATTGAATTTTAATAAAAACCTTTTTTCTTAGAATTCTATCAAGATTAATTTTATGCCATATAATTTTTAGTTTTTAAATGTTTTGTTTAATATTTTTAAAATTAAATGTATTTCTGTTAAAAATTCCTAATATTTTTAAAATTACATGTATTTCTGTTAAAAATTCCTAACATTTTGAAGGCTTTATTTACGATGTAATTCATGTGTAAAGAAAAAAACAAATTGTGATCAAATAAAATACCTAAATCTTTACTAAAAGTAACTTGCTAATTTTAAATTATCAATATTAGGTATAGTTGAAAGAGAATTTCTTGAGTGAGTAAAATATAATATAATATTACAGTATTACACTTATTGACATTTAGATTTGGGTAATTATTATGACTCCAATTTACTAGTTTGTCTAAAATCAAATGCAATTTTATTGCGTCAATTATTGAAAATATTTTGGCTCCATCAGCAAATAAAAATAAGCGAACTGTTGTCAAAAATATTATGCAAATCATTTAGGTATAAACGGAATAAACAAGAGTGGGCCCAAGTGTGATTCTTGTGGTCATTAGTGATCATTGCTAAATTAATATCAGTAATCTAAATATTTTATTAATAATTATTTACACCATCATTTTACATTTATTTATTTATTTATTTATCATTGCAAACGAAACAAACATTGGCTATATACAGTTAAAAAGAAAATTAATGTGTGTTTGCTCAATTCCTCATCTCATTTAAGAAAATATTGTGTTAGAGATGAGGAGTATTATTAAACATACAATTTAAATTGGCATTAAGGTGATTTGAGAGAAGAGAAAAAACAAAAGTGTAACAATGAGACAGTGACAAACCTAACCTAACAATAATTACTCTTAAAGATTGATTAGCTTAATAAGTAGGTAGGTACTATATAAACATTTTAGAATTGATTTTTTTAAGTTATACTATTTAATGTTAATATTTAGAGACCGCCAGACCGGCACAACTCAACTGCCATGTTTAAGCCACTTCTATGCTCAGAAGACTTAGTCGTTAGAATTTAGAATACAATAATGATTAATGAAACAGTTTATGATTAACTTTATAGTGTGACACTGTGACCAGTGACCAGAGAATAAATATAATTTAATTTATTTTGTGGTATGGCTGTGTGAAGCTATATCGAAAGGTAATAAGCACAATTGAAGATAATAAGGTATTCTATTTTAGATTCTGAGTGAAACGATGAATGTATTGATTTTACAATGATGTGTGTTTTTTTTTTTTATTTTAATTTTTTAATTTTTATTTATTTTTAATTTTTTTTTTTGTGTCTGTCATCACGTTTTAGGACAGTAAAAGTGCTTGGATTTTCTTCAACAGTAGCTTTTCTGATAGGAAAGTGAATCTAGTTGGTACTTTGGGGGGTCAAAAGTAAAAAAGGTGGGTAAGTGGATGTCGCTCTGCTGTACAGTAGGTTAGGCCGCGTGTACATTGGCGAGCGGCGAGCGGTAGCGGCGCGGCGTGTCTCAAATCAAACATGTTTGAATTTCACCGCTCGCCGCTCATGAAATATTTATTTTAATGATGATATTTTATTTATTAATATAATATGATTCAATGTAAAAATAGTCTTGATGATTAAAATTCTGGTCTTAATACTCGATGAACGTCAAAACAATCATAATTTGTTTATTTTGCTATTTAAAGAATTGTACCAAGTTTCCAAAATAATAGATAAATATGTTGAGAAGATTTCTGTTGTTGAGTTGTACGCAGTATGGGTAAACCATTGTAGTTGTAGTTCAAACTGCTTATAGTGAACACATATTTTGTAAATTACTCTGTATTCATTTCATACTTCATAATGTCAAAATCAAATATTAATAATGCTATGCGAGAAATTTTAATTTCGGAAGTACAAACCAGACCATCTTTATGGGATGATACTCACCCTGAGTACAAAAATGTCGAAAAAAACAAAAAATTGTGGTGTGAAATTGGAAAATTAGTTGGAATACCCGGTATGTATATTTTGAAAATATAGGTATTCAGTTTTAGTATGTTAATGTAAAATATTTATAAATCATCACTAGACTAATTAACTTTTTACAACAATAGACTTGTATATAATTTATAAAAAAAATATTATATCATATAC